CCCCTAAAATGGTACACTGACCGAAAATGGTACACTGACCGAAATCGCCAAAATAATTTTTCCGGAAAAATTTTTTTGACATTTTTTGGGCAATGTGGAATTTTTTGGGCAAAAAAGCTACCGCCCCCCCAGAATTTAGCGGCCCCGTACGCCTATGTGCGCCATATAATTGAATTTCCTATTGCTGGTTTACAAGAACTCGAGGTTATTAAAGCTATTTGTTATAAAATTATTTCAAATTACATAATATGTTGCACTCAACTACCTCAAGGAACATCAATGTTACCGACAAAACTGTTTAATGAATTATATGGTTATTATGGTTAACTTTTTGCGGTTTCTTCAATGAGTATTAGAGCAAATATTCAACTCATAAGGGCTTTTGATATGGCCCAGAAAATTTAGTGCCATCTGGCATATTTACAAAAGCTCAGTATACTAAACTTTTACTCGTTTGACTATGCAGATAAATTTCTCAGAAAAAATTTACAAACTTTGCGCAAACCTCTTTAAAAAACATATATATATATATATATATATATATATATATATATATATATATATATATATATATATATATATATATATATTTGTGCATGCCTAGTGATATTTTTTTATTTCCTGCATTCTGATTGGCTACAGGAGCGGGCAGCTTTTTACGAAATCTTGACAGGTCCAAAAGAATTACTATACCTAAAAAGTTGAAAAATCGAACCTATTTACCTTTTCGTGAATGTACTTCAGTGGACTTAATGCCAAGCCCAAAATATACGTTTAAATATAAATACTACAACGTACAACTTGTCCTTACGCATGGTAAATATCTTAACGTGACTATGCACCATTATGCCAATTTTTTCAAAAAACAAAAATTAATATAATCAAAATATTTTAGCGAAGACATGTTCATTATTGGCTAACCATCCAACCGCGGAAAGTTTGCGCAATTTGTTGTTTATTTGATTAAAAGACAATTCTAATGCAGTATTGTATAGCGGAATGTTCTCCTTTAGTCTTTGCCCTTCATTTTTTTCCCTGAATGTATCTAAAATTTTATGCTTTTTCTATTTCGTGCATGTTTATAATTACATTTGCAGTCAGCGTATCACTAACAAAACAATAACGTTACAAACCGTCATTGTTTTTATCTTCCTGTGTTCCACGCCATCAGCTGGGAATAATATAATTAATTAATATTACAAACAATGATCAATATAACCTCTCCAAAATCGTGCGTGCATATCTTTTGGTGACATGATGGGAAGGTTTTGCGCACATAAACTTCTTTGATATGTATGATACCCTGTGATAAAACTCGAAATTAAAAATATTGGCATGGCATGATCAGTTATATTTCAATAAACCTTTGGAATTCTACTGTATTTAAATTAATCAATCTAAAGGTACGGTTATTAGCATATGGCATGTCCAGTTGCCATGACTATAATTAACACGCCTTCGCTCACTATAAAATGCCACCAGGTCTGGCACAATGTTCCATAACTAGTAGGTGTTTGCAGGAACACGAAAGGCTGTTGATATAAGGTATATAATATATACATTGATACTAATTATATACTAGTGTCATTAATTAAATTAATACTATAGGCCTAGTATCATGCATTTATGTGCTTTTATTATAGAGATGCAGGTATCGGTGTAATGTTTTATGTGCATGGTGCGAAAATGTTACTAAATAAATAAGTATTTCAGTAACATATGCATTTGCATGTCAGCAGACACATGCAAGGTCAAAAACAATTTTCGAAAGCCGCGTTTACCAACCATGCAAATGAAGCTATTTTTGCTTTCTATATACAAGTTTGGTTGTTTAATTTTAACCACTCGTTGTACAAATGTCAGTTTATACGTAACAAATACAGTTTTCTTATTCCATTTTTTATTAAAGTTTCTCTACACGACAGAAAGATGTCCAATTGTTTGTTATCAGCAACTACTCTACTTTTTGTAACAGGTAAGCTGCCATTATTTCAGTAGCGTAAGGTCTAAGCCAGAATTTACTCCATAGCTAGACTTATACAATTATTTGATTGAACTATATTATAATGATTTGAACTATTACCGTTAGTTAGCACTGCCAAAATGTCGTCCTGACCTCTTCTGCAATGTTTTGGGTTCAGATTATCCCTGAACTATACTGTATAAAATGTTTAGTCAGAGCATTATTGACGTTTAATATTTAATTAAATTGCCAAAACTGTGTTTCCTAAATACAGGACAATTCGAAAGATTCATTATTGCTATAGGCTAATCAGTGCTCTCTCGGCTGGGATCCGGTGTGGGGTTAACATGGCGGATTTAAAAGTGGTGCATGGACTGTCTAATTACTTTACGGATGAGTAACTCTTTTCAACCTTGTTCTGTTTTAATTAATGCTGCTTGTGGTCCCCACTGTGTGAGGGCTGATTCATTTTTCACCTTTTTTCTATTTGTATTCATTCATTTAACTTTCAAATTGTATTATATATTTTTGTCAAGGGGTTAACCTGGCTGGGGCGTCGAGTATGTTCGTTTGCCCCTTGTCAATTAAGTTGCTCAATTTTTTTGTGATTATACCTTCTTAATGATTCATATATACTCACATGGTGTTTATAATGAACTTGCCGAAACCTGTAAACAAATAAATATATTCCCACACTCCCCCTACAAACAAATTCCTGTAGCTGTCGTGATAATAGTAAATTTCTGATAATAGTAATTGTTATATTTAGACATCCGATAGGGGTAATAAATTCCTTCGCGCAGGAGGTGTTACTGTTTTCCAAAATGATCCATTGATTCGCTATATTTTCAAAAACTCATTAATAATTCATGAAGCAATTATCCAATCTTGAGTAAGAAATTAGTCACGTGTATACGTCTTTATACCAGCTAAAGAACACTTTAACAAAAGACCATTGTTATGCAAACTATATAAAGATTTTTATATAAAGATTTTTATATAAAGGTTTTTATATAAAGATTTGACTTATTATGCATACGTTTTTGAAGTCATTTAAAAAACTCGCGGGTCGTGTTTTATTAGGTCTAAAGCCACTCGCGCTGCGCGCTCGTGGCTTTAAACCTAATAAAACACTCCTGCTCGTTTTTTAAATAGTACATTAAAAATCTGAATGCTTGGTGCCAGCATATATTCCTCAGTATACATGTATACTGCTTACATATTCGACAGACACAAACTGTCTTTCTGAAATAATATTTTTTTTCCAGTAATGTATTTCATTGTTCCGAGGATTCCATTCAGATACTGTATCCACTGTTGATGAATGATGTGGATGTTACTAAATACTTTGATTAATAAATTTATATTTATTCATTTATGGTTCATTTCATTGAGAATTAATTACAACAATTATGTTACCATTTAAGTACAGCTTGTGTATCATCAGATCAGGATTCTCACAGTATCAAGGCTAATTTATCTTTCAAATTTGCTGTTGTTCTTGTTCATGCTGGCCCCGACAGCAAAAGATTTAGAATGATGTACAGTCAAACAGTTGCTTGATAAAGTTACATCATTTTTACCACTAATGCATGCATGGGTGTATCAGAGAGGGACGCATTTGTAGAATGACCACTAAACTGAAAATTTCGTCGCCTCAAGGCTTGGCCTTTTTTGCTATTGTAGCTTTTCACGACAATTTATCACACGCACAACTGATTTAATGCATGATTGATTTTATGCATGATTGATTTCTTATAAACTCTTCCCAAAAAGTTTAAAAATTGTGCATGAAAGAAGTGGCACAAAAGTCAAATTTTGAGAGATTGTGCGTCGGGTATAATGTATAATTATAATTGGTTCATAAAAGACCTTCTACAATTTATTTGCACACTATTGATAATTGATATTGTGTTTGAAACCTACCACTGTTGTGCGCAAACGATACTTTTAAAACGGTAAAAGAAAAGCTACTCTTTGAAAATTTTCTTTTCACAATAATTTTGTGATAGAGTCACCCAATCTCCCATATACTAATACAAAGTTGTCAATCATTTTGCTGAATTTTCACTTCAAGATTAAAGAACTGCATTGTTTTTTTACATAGACTGAAGTTGATAAGTTTGCTAGCTAATGCTTGTTGCGAAGACATTATGCGAGTTTCACATTTGTACATATTTGTCATAATTATTATCAATATACTCAATATTATAATGTGCAGTAAAATATGTTACATTAAAATACTCATTAATAATTTATAAACCTTGTGGCAAATCATGTCAGCCATCATATGCCACGTGGAGTGACTTAATATCTGATAAAACTAATCTTAATTAGTATTCTTTATATTATTGTTCATCCTAATTAGTCCCTGAGCCAAAGGGGCGAGCGAACTAATTCCGCCCGGCTATTTACACCAGGGGAAAGGAAAGCATTAGCGAAGTCACAGAATAAAGATCAGTAACAGAAGGGCCAGTTAGCGGTGCAACGTGTCCGCGTTTTTTTATGCAAAAACTGGTGCTGTTTACTGGCCAGAAGGCGGAGCAGCCAGACAGTACAGCGTGTTTATTGGCCAGAAAATGTCATTGACTGGCTAGGAAAATGGCGGCCAACATGTGTAATGCGACATGCGCGAGGACAGAAACTTCAAAGCTTCCAACGTAAGTGGCCCTTCTATATGGATCTTTATTCTATGGCGAAGTCAAAAGTTCATCAATGATCGCGGGCGCATGGTGTATGGGTGGTCATCCTACTGATCTCAAAATATGGCTGTTTCCCAGCAGTGAAGAAGGCAAAAATATAAAAAATACATGTAAGAAAGCTAGGAAAATCGTTTCACATAACAAATTTTAAAACTTTTTTCAATATTTAAACGTAAACATTAAAATGAATTTATTTAGTATGAGAAATCTTAAAGTAAAGAGCAAGTTTGTTTCAATTGTTTATGTATGACTTTGTATTATTATAGACTTTGTTCTTGTTGTTCAACTCTTTCCTATGTATTGTATGCGAAAGTTTCTTAGTTAAATTAACTTTCGCAGAAGTTCATCATAAAAAGACCTAGGAAAGCAAATTATTTTCATTAGCGTCTTGTACGAATTAAATTTATTTCATTTCAAAGTGCGAGTAATAAGTTGGAGCTCTAGTTGAAGAGTTTTATGGTATCGGCAAAAAGTTAGTTAATTTCAATTCACATTTAAAAATGCTTTGCGTAGAGTTTCGTTTTGAATTTTGCATTAAAATAAAGCCCATTCATAGAAAGCAAAATAATATATACCTACTTTATATGTTTTAGAAATTGACAGTTCTGTGTTTAAAAGTGTTCAAGTTTCATCTATTTTTTGCAGCTAGTGCTTCCACTGCCAAAAAATAACCTCCGTCCCAACTTCTCAAAATTTCCTTATTTTTGACAAAATCTCCTTGCACAAAAGTTGATGAATTGTACCTAGTTTAAAACTGATATTACCAGAGGGCGGAAATCTTGGTGGGGCGAGGGGGCGGCCGCCCCCCCCCCCCCACCTTCATGGAAAATTGACGAATTTTCGGAAATTTTGACCTGAGAGAGGGCTAAAAACAGTCTTTTCTAGTGCAAATTGGGGGGGAGTCAGAAATTCGAACGTTTTGTCGGAAATTTAGGAGGCTTTGTTCCCCCCCCCCCCACTGGAAAAAGTGAATTTCCGCTACTGGATATTACAATAATTTATCCTGAATAATGGTGTGTTTCTCGGGCTAGAAAAATCATGGACATTGCAGGGGAGGGATTAAATGTCAAAGGGGAAGTTTACTTAAAATTATTCGAAGTAAAAGGAACAGGGCGATTGAGGTCATCCCTCGGAAAGTTTTTAGATTTTCCATTCCCCAGGAAAGCCGCTTTCGACATTTTCTGGAGCGAATTTGCTTGGAAATTGCTGTAATCTTAGGATTTATTAGAAATACCGTAATATCCTTCTTATTTCTCTCTTGACAACAAAATTCCTTGCATTTTCCTTGTAAATTTTATTTCCTTGCACATTTCCTTGCAAAGGAACAGCTGGGAAATGTGTTGTCACTGTGCAGAGAAATTGCTGGCGCAAGCGATATTTTACAAAAATTCAATAATTTAAAAAAACAACAAGGGTGAAGTTTTCAACTTATGATTTTGCATTTTTAAGACGGCAATCAAGGAAATTAATAAAATTGTAGGAAAAACTTCACTAACATCTCAAGTGTGGAAAGCATCTACATTATCAGCATTTTAATTGTGGATTGATTCAAAATTCAGACGATAAAATTACATAGCTATAGGAGTTGGATTTTATGCTCATCGAATATCCATTTTCATTCGCGGATTACCACAACTTGTTGGTCTCATGGGTGCTAAAATCGACATAACGTAAATCGGTAACCGAGAGCTATAAAACAAATAACTTTTCAAGAAGATAAACTTTATTCAGTCAAAAGGATGAGAGTAAATAAACATGCTACTGCGTGATGGTGATTTTGAAGCAACTTTGTCACATATATTTTAACAAGTGGGATAATGAATCAAATTTTGCTTTTTTCATTCCCAAAAAGGTATGAAAATTATTTAAATATTTAAGGTTTCCGTGTTTGTAATGTATTTTTTGAGAAAAGTAAAAATTTTTCCCATAAAAAAGCGGCATAGTTTCAGCAGAGATATCCTGGGAGAGGGGGTGTAGAAGCGTGGGCGGATAGCAAGAAACCTTGACGTTTAATTTCCTCTCAAAAATTAATACCAAATTTTGTTTTGCCTTTGTTCGATATGTAATTTAAACAAGTTTTTTTTACATCTAAAAATTGCCCCTAGTGATCAAAACTTGGATTATGTTAGGAGTATTGACTATTTGTTTACTTTTGGAGATCAAAGTTTGAGGTCCAATTATTTTGAAAGTTTGAAAACTACCCAGCTAATTCTTGGCTGTTGGTTGCAGCCTTCTATGCTGATTAAAATATAGTTTTGTCCACAATAGTACATCATTTCAATGAAGGCAAATTAAAAATAGTATGTTTGATTACTTTTACAGCACAGTCAGTACATAGGTAGGGTGCAATACCAGGCCAAATTTCAAAAACAATTACCGATTAAAAAAAAATTTTGTTGCACAATTGCCCCTTTGCGTCTAATTTCGCTTTGAAATGCGTGCGTTTACTGCTCTTGTGTGAAACAAGTAATGAATGTAAAATGTAATGAATCGACAACTTGACCATTAAAACACGCATTAGTGTCTCGGCAACATTGATGATCGCGGCAGCCAATCAAATAACGATTTCGATTCGATTTCTCCAGAGTCATGCCACTACATAAAACGTATAACCCGCGAACAGGCATACTCTAGGAACGAGATTGGTTAAGAGTGGACACATTCTCGTCCCCAGTGTCTTTTTGGGAAAGACCAAGCGGCAGTGGCAAAGTATCAAATTACATGCTTCCAAAACGTTAAATTTCAAATATCAGGAGTGGGATTTTACGATATATAGTTCGAAGGGCCCACTAACTTCTATTCTATACCTCTATTTGCTTTTAAATTACGAAAACACTGGAGCATTTCATCAACAGTCAAGTCAAGAAACAAATAAAATGTATACTATAAACTTTGAAGTTGAGTATTCTCTCACAAACATATTTTCCGATCAAACTGGTCAGTCGTCAACGTTTGTACATTTTCACTTTTATCTGTTCCTAAAATATGCCATTAGATTTGTTGTTTGAAAACGTTGATAAACTGCTTTGAGCAGCTTTACTAATAGTACGCGTCTCATTTAGTGAAGGTTGATAAAATTTTGAAGTATGCCCACCCTTAACCTGCGAATGGGCATGCAGTCGAGGAACGAGATTGAATTGTTGCTGGAATTTCTTGGTTTAAGTTTTAGAACAACGTATGTCAGTAAAGCTGCGTTCTATAATTTCAAATATTGTAATGCTAACTGGTGCGTTTTTGTACGGATGATAGGGACTGAACTGATCAAACAAAAAATTGCATAAAGCTTTCGGAATGTCAGTTGCACTGTGACGGGCTATCTTTTCCGAATACTGAAAAGATGTATCCATTATTAAAGATGTGTATTCTTGCACTGTCAGGTCTGTTGGTGAGCTTGAGTGATGCTGATATATTTTTACACAGTCCCAGAGGTTCTAACAACCGCTTGAATGGAGCAGGCGTTAACAGAGGAAACAATAATCGAATGTTCGATTCTCAGGTGAGCTTCTAGCCTCCAAATTATTTGCATTCCTTCCATTCATCTGATCATAAACACTTCAATATTGCAGCAAATTTCACTCGAGAAATCCTAACAGCTATAATCAGGATATCCTCGCATTGACGTGGAGAGATCGGTTGGGAATTAGTTAGTTATTTTACGATTAATGCGCACGGCTTATGTTTTAACGATGAATGGGAAATTGTAGTACAAAAAAAGCCTCGTCACACAGACGATCGAAAACCAAATAATACTTGCTGTAAATTACTTGATTCTTTCAAGTGCAGGGTTGCGAAGTCTAAGCAAATCCATGCCCTCGACTGGGGTAGTACGCTTAATTCAGACGTAAGGGGTAGCGGCCTAAATAGTACAACAGCCACCCGTGTAGGCTTCCGTGTTTTTTGCAAACAACTACATATATACACAAGACTACATTTTCATATATTTCTAGAACAACGCAAAGGGTGGTTACAATGTAGGCGATTTAGATCAAAAATCAACCAGCGAGGAGACACAATTTAACATGGTACGTATAAAAAGTTGTAGGCTACTGTAAGGCCATAAATTGTATTTTTTTAAGATTTAATTTTTATCACATTCGATTTCCTATCAATTGGTATGCACACGAAAGCTAAAAGTTCCAGCACTGGTATGCTTTGAATTGCAAAATGCTCTAAAAGTACATTATAATGTAACGTAAGTTGCAAGGTAAATTTTCCTCGACGTTTTGATCGGCCGTATTAAATAGAATAATATATATGTTATATGAATACCATTACTCTTCGTCATTTGAATCTACATTCATATACTGTAGTTTAGAAAAGGACAATTCTTAGCATTATTGAGTTTTATTTGACTACAACAATATAGTCGAAGTCAGTAATCTTATATGTTCCTTAGTTCAAATTTGTGCCGATTTATATTGTTCTCTATGTATAGGGTTTAATTTGGTAAGAATCCAAAAACAAGGGAATTTCATATATTCACAGGGAAAAATGTTTTTAATTGAATTAACATATTTTTTTATTTTTTAAATTAATATTTATTTTCAGGACGCTCTCTTACAAAGGAATTTTCAGAAAGTTTCTGAACTGAATAAACAAATTTACAAGGAAGACATGCATATACTACATAACTATGAAAAATATCTAAAAATATATAAGAGGGAAAGTTTAAAGATTGCTAAATTTTAAAGATTCTCCCAAAGTGGAAATACTACTAGAGAGTTTTATCTTTCTGCCCAAGTTGTACCTGTCTGTTTTGGCCAGATAAGAGAGACTTTGCTTTCCCCAAGCCCGCATGACACTTTGGATGGCCTTAAATTCTTCGTTATAGCGCTTCTACCTTCGGCTGAGCTATTTCTTATTTCAGCCCACTCTTTCCAAACACGAACTGCCCAGACGGTGTTGTGTCTTGTGCCTATATACGGTATATAGAGTGACTTTCTTCGTTTCTCTCTGTCTCGTTTGAGCACTTCAAAATTAATCTCGATGGTTGTTCGTCAATTGCTTGCTCCAATTCTCCTTTCGTAAGTCTACATATTCATCTGATTCCAGTTGCCTGGGAGCATTTTCTTCGTCGCTATACATAGGTCGTTCATACTTTAAACGCATTCATGACTTCAAAAACGGTTTGAATCTCATTTCACGGTGACATGCAAACCAGCGTTATTCTCTTATTCAATACAAGTTTATAAAACAAAAGGAGTAGATTTTATCGTGTGTCAATCCTTACAAATTTGAACTATATATAAGCGACTTAATTATACCTCGAACGTTTCTTGATGAGATACAACATGAAGGGCGTGACCTTATATTCCAGCTCCTATTTTAACCATTTGCAACACTCCATGCATCTGAACGTTCACATACTAAAGCTACACTCTAAAAACACTCTGGTTAAATTCAACCAGGAATTGGGTTAATAATCCACCCAACACATTCTGGTTAAATTTAACCCATTTCCTGGTTAAAAATTATCAATTCAACAAAAATTTGGTACACTTTTTTGGACTTTTAACCAGGAAAATGGTTAATTTTTTTTAACCAGACTTGTGTAGGTGGATTTTTAACCCCGTACTGGTTGAATTAACCCAAATTTAACCAGAGTGTTTTTAGAGTTTATGAAATACTTTCAGAACTATTTCCAAAGTGGCGAAGGCTTTGCAAGTACTTCAGGTCTGACAGGAAAGTCTCTGCTCACAATTGAGTGGACCAATCAACATGGCTGTGGTGATCGAGATTTAAACTGTAACTTTGTTCTTCAATACCGATGTCAAGATGACGCAAACAATCAGAAGTTGAATCAACACTCAATGAGGAATGGTAAGAAAAATGTAACTCCATCGAAAACAGGGAACAAAATTTAAACATTGGGGGAAACAGGATATTATTTTTTTGCATCGGAATTGCAATTATATAATAAGTCAAAAGAAAAGATTTATTACATTTAGCTAAAACTAGCTCGGTATGAGAGTTTTACAGTATCGGTATACCGGAAAAATTATACCGATATTATCGGTAAACCGGTTTTTCGCCTATTAAATTGGATAGGATATTTTGATTTGGATTAATTTGAAAAGTGAGAAACACATTGATGATAATTCCGGAGCTGTTGTTATTCTTCTTTTAAAACTTTCTACTTCTTTTACGTTGCATTTCCGTAAAACAAAAATTGATGATTTCCATGCTCAAGCGCCAGATATTTTGCAACGTACGTCTGTAGCATGGCTGTATTACGCTACGTTCTCACCAGTTTTTGTTCCTGTTTAATTAATGTACTAATCTGAGGTGTAAAGTCACAGCAAAGCAATAATTAAGCTAAGTTTAGCGGGTTGAAAAATAAAAACAGCAATATGAGAGTGGACAGCCGAATCATTTTGTTTTTCCTCATTGCTGAGTTTAATTAAGCTTCAAGTATAAATTGATAAAGTATTTAAAAAATGATTTATTTCGAAGACATTATAATATGGATTACTGGATACACACAAGCAAATGTGGTTGAAAATAGAACGTTCTGGCTCACGTTATAACGTCATACCTTAATACCTGAAAAATAATAAAGTAAACATTTGGTTTAACCTTGTTGACAAATAAAGGATTGTGTTTAAGTGCAGGGATTTCAATTAATCCCATGTATTTAATTTCTCCTAGGACGTATAACCAATACTCCACAATATACGAAAATTGCGTACACTACACGCTCAAGTAAGAACTACTACTTGAATTATGATTCAGCCAGTTATTACCGAGGTCTTCATGAATCCTGGGAATGGCATGATAAATGCGTCAAAAGAAGTCGTAATCAAGGTCAGTTCTATATTTGAAAACAAACAGGCTAAAAGTAGCCCAATATGAGTTCGAAAACTAGAATAAAGGCAGAGTAAGAAGAACATAGATGACATTGGCGAGGGCAAAGTGCAAACTCCGAAACATTTGCAAAATTTCAATTCTATACAAATTCACCTCTTGGTTATAGTGAAACTACTCTAAACAGTACCTATCGATATAGGATATTAGCAGAGTTTTGGATAATATCTCAAGGAAATGTCATCTTCAACAAATTAATAATCGATAAATTAACGAATCAAATTACGCGATTAATAAAAACAAATGCTTGCCATGTATAATAAAACAACTTGCTGACCTCAAGTGTTCGGACTTTACGGGAAAATATCAAATCTAGATCATGTTGTATTGACCTCGCTATGTAATATATGAACAACGCGAGAGCGAGTTAGACTTGCCCAAGTCGTTCGCCAGGGACCGCGCGTAGCAAGAAGGGAGCGCTTGAGAAAGACGGAAGCCAGCGACTTGTGTCACTTGCCTGATTTTGAATCTTACTGAAAAATTTGGCGAGAAAATGAATTATGACATAGTGGGCGTTCACCATGTCGATTTCACTAGTTCATTATTGTTTTGGCGTCGTTAGTACAGAATAATAGTGAGTTTAAGCAAGTGACGTTTTTGACAACACGGACGTCGACCGGAAGTAAAGTTGACGTTTTTCACCAATCACAGCCCTTGACCCAGTCTTCTGACGTTACTCATGCCGTTCGTGTTGTCGAAAACGTCACTTGCTTAAACTCACTAATAATGAGCATTCACTGACGTCACCGGAGCAAAAATGCACCGGTGAATTTGGCGCGCTTGCGGGTGACAAAAGTCTGTCGCTTCCAGGAACCACGAACCGCAGACTTTGGAAAGTCTAAGAGCGAGTGTTTCACCGGGATATCCAAACACGAGAAAAGCAAACACGCGAAGCGCGAGTGTTTTCATACATTGTTTTCGAGTGTTTGGATATCCCGGTGAGACACGAGCTCGAGTTGTTTATCAATGGCTTCTCAAATGAATCGAGACGTAACAGAATGTTTTAATTTCGTTTGCTGATTTGAATAGAATTTGTAACCAAGCATAATGTAATTAGGAATTCTATTCAAGTAATTTTGCGTGCGTAATTAAGATATTTGATGAAAACACTAGCTAGTGACTTTCATCAAGTTTCACAGGGTTATCCAAATGGCATCTTGTGATCAAATAGGTGATTATCATTGGCTGAATTGCTCATGAATTATTAATGAATTTGAGAAGGTTCGTACAATACCTAAAGAACTTGAATTGATGTTTTCCCATCCAGCCCTCACTCTCGGTCAATAAGTTGTTAATATTACGCTATAGCCAGATCTCCCACAAATATATGTCCACATGCACCATGTTAGCCTACTATGATATCACACCTCGAGTATATAAGAAGCTGAGCTGCAGCTGTTGATAATTCCTGATACAGACACAAGACCGGAGTTACCAAATTTTTGGTTATTAATAATTCCAATATACAGTTCATGAGCCTGCACATGCGGATCATTTAATGTTGCATCACAGTTTTGTTAAGAATTTTCTTTCTCTTAACTTACAGGACTATTCACAGCTGATCAAAAACTGAAGGGTCAGACAAGCATTTACACTCGTCAAAATGCAAATGGTGCTCGTAGTGGTTATGAGTGTCCTGAGGAACGAGATTACTATCCTTACTGGCATCCTACAGACTGGATTGATATAGCGGTGTTTGCTTATAATGAAAGCATGTGTAAATATTATCAGAAAGAAAGCTTCAATGTCAGAAATAAAGGTTAGCCTAGTAAAACAGTTATGAACAGACGTAATTTCCCATTATAGCTAAAGTTTTCTAATCAGTTAAGTTTAGATTGATCAGCGAATTAGATTTTTCATCTCATCACTGTGGTACGAATATCATGATAATAAATTATGCAAAATGTATCGTAATTACGCGGCCATTATAGGTTTGCAACATCTAATCCAAAAACGTTCGATTTCAATTTCAGCCTGTTTTACTAATTCTAGCATTTAACATTTGTAATGAGATTCTTGTTGTAGGCCTAATATATTTCACATCAATCGTCATTTGTATTTTAAGAGCACTGATTGTTTATATATTACAGTTTTAAAATCTACTCTAGGTAAAACAACAATGAGATAATGAATATGTTTACTCGGCCGGTTTATGTACCATTTAAAACACGAACAGGCTGGAGTGCTTTATCAGATATAAAAGCGCAGCTCGAGTGTTTTATATCTCATAAAGCACGGACTGCAAATGTTTTAACTCTTTCCTGTCATTATCCTATATTAACGCAATACACTGTAGTTCGCGTTACAAGTATTTTTAACGTTATTCTGTTTGAATTTGCTGATCAGAAATCAGTTGGTTATGCACACCCGTGGCTGCAAGTGTTTGGCATGAAGACTAATTCATCACAATTGTATATCTGATATGTCTAATACGCCAATTTCGTCTCTGAAAGCGCAAAACATTACAGTCGTTTGACTATTTTCTTGACTCACTGTACTTTAATATTTTGCACTTGGAGAGTCTCCTTGTTTATTTTGAGAGTTCCATAGGGCTCACATTTGATGGAATTAATATGTGAAATGTCCAGTCGTAGCAACTGTTTTCTCTCGGCCAGATAAAAAGTAATATAAATATATATAGTGCGTGGTAAACAGGTTCCTAAAGTTACGTCACACAGGTTCGTCCCAGACTATTTGTCAATTTGCAACTTTTTCCTACCAGAATCACCATTCAAATGCATATATCTCGGAAACGAAAAGAGAAATTCGAAAACTGTAAAAGAACTTATTAAATAATTTTGTATCACTCACTCAAACCTGTAATAAGAATGTTTGTGACATAAGCACTTAAAAGTAAGCGTTGTATAAGCCGAGGAAATCAAAGTTAAAGTTTAATGTGTAAATGAACATGATTTTTCTTCACATATTAAACCACCAACACGGCAGTGATTGCTCTTGTATTTTTCTCATGAATTATTAATGAGTTTTTAATGATATTTAAAGCGAGGTGTCAGTTATATTTTTGGAAATTAATTAAATTATTTTATCGCATTGTTCGCAGGGGAGTGTCTCCAATACTATCCATCAAAAGCAGACGGTTTCCGCCATGACTCGATTTATAACAACGAAATTGACTGCAAAAAAAATAAAGGGTTCTGGGTTTCATTCAGCAACTATTTAGAAGAATACCCCAAGTATCAAACAGAAGCAAAGTGTAAAGCTGGAAGTTCTGACCAACTACCTCTTAAATGGGACATTCCTTACCGCTCAGAAGATATTGATAATTTAAAAATGACTGGTGATAATGTGGAATCATTAAAACGTTGTCTGGTCGCACTTGATACACCAGAATGCACCAAAGCTCCATACACAAGATCAAACCATTTAGGAAATGCTCGTGGTGTCGTTCCTCTTCGTTACACTTGGACTCTTCCACATTTCCCATCTGGTCGTGCACAAAGATGCGTCCTGAGATTGAGGTTAGTTATAAAGTTGTAATAATTTTTCTACTCCTATACTAAATTGTTTATGTAATTAATTATAGCAGGAATTTTGGAAAAGACAATGCGTAAAACTTACAAGAGAATGAATTTAGACCATTAAGTTCTGCTTTTTTTCTAATTTCATGCAATCTTGACTGTCTTTCTGATGATCTGTGTAATTTGGCGAGATTTCGTTTTTGATAGCGTCATGCATAAGCGTGTTTTACGAGCGCCCACTATACAAGCGCCCACTATACAAGCGCCTTGCATGGTTGGCGTACACAATTCAATCTTCGTTTTAACTTAGGAATGAACATTTTTGCGGGTAATTTTTTTAAATTCATATACAAGTCAATCAAAATTAAATAATTGATTGTAAACTTACAATATTAAAAAATTCTGAAAGACGTTCCTGACTAATTGTTTCTCACAAAGTTTCAATTTCAGTATAGCAGTAATTTCAGGTCGATTATGCTGTGATGTTAAAAAACCTTTTCCCTTCCTTCCGTTGGTTAGGTACAACATTTCCACTGGAGATTATCCACCATTTAGCACATTTAGTGATGAAAATGACAATCCGTAAGTATCCAAGATGTCTCACAATCATTACTTTGAACCCTCTAACAACTAATTATGTGTGGCTTTTCGAACGTCGATGCTTGTTCGCTTTGAAGGTTATAACTATTTTGGCCAATTCATATGACAAACGTTAAACATGATTGATTAAATTAATAAACACTTGTCCAAAATATATACATGTACATGCAAGAAAACAAAATTAAGGAAAGGAAAAAATCTTGTAAACGATTTTGCAGACTAAAAGGGGGGATAAGAAAATAAATTTATATATTATTGAAAGACTTGTCAAGCGTGTATACCGAGTGAATTAAGCTTTGGACTACTAAGAAATTTTTATATATTTGGTTCATAAACGCAGGATTTCGTTTTTCTGCACTGCCCCTTGTAATGTATAATTTTGAAACATATTAACAAATTTTCATTCGTATAATTCTCATTTTATATGCTCTCAGATTGTTTGCCAAAATTGGCAGACTAATAACTACTGTACTAAAGCAAGCCTATTCTCGAATTATTACTTTTTATAAGGAATGCGGGTGTAAATTCTCCAATCAAAAACAATCCAAAAGTGAAAGTTAGTACTGCTCAGCTGCCATTACAACTTGCCATCAACACCGCTCAATTTGGACGTACTTTCCAAGATCGATCTCATTTATTCAAGCTCCTACCCAGGCCTAAGAAGGTGAACGATAATGATGTCATCTATAATCTAAACGTACGAGGAAAGCGCGGGAATATCGTGCAAGCTTTTCCAGCGGTAGAATACGACTTTATCCCGAAACGAATGAATATTTCTAGCGCAAGTCTTGTGCATATCCAGTGGACTGGTAAGTTTAGGTTACATTTAAAAATGATTACAATATGTGGCCTTATATGAAATAAGATACAAGATAATGCGTTTGCCATTTCATGATTGAAATCGTGTGCAGTCACCATATTTATATATATATATATATATATATATATGTATATTTGAGTATCCCAGTATTCCAGTATTCTGAAGAAGTCTCGAAGTACCGAGTCGAAAGCTCAATAAAAGTATATTTCAATCCGGAGAACTTTAATTAATTAAAATATGCCTGGATTACAAATCTTTAAGTACTAGATAAAACATGAGCAGTTGATCTGTATCTGATATATACAAACTCGAGCCGAAGGCGAGAGTTTGTATATCAGATACAGTCATACAGATCGGATGTGAATCTTATGAGTTCATTGGCGAAGTAATATTATTTTAAAAATAAACATTGTCCAGGCCGAGAAAATAGAGCTGAAGTTTATGTAAATCAGCACAAATCTTTATCCGATTTATATATAAATATGTTAATATAATAGTATATTAATGTAATATATTAATACAATTTTTCAATTGAATAAGTGTCGCAACTTAATCAAAATGTGCAGAGTGTACCCCTATTTAGTCCATTATTTTGACACAATGAACACTGTGAAACTGGCATTAAAATCACCATCTCTTTCTTTCAAAGGATCAAATACCAATCCTAGTGGCAATGCTGGGCAAGGAACTGCAGGTATGTTTAGCTAAATATATATAATATATATCTGATATACCATTTTACCACAAATGTAAGCACATGCATGTAAGTTATCACAATTCAATTCAATTTTTCGGTTTGAATCTGTTATTCATGCAAATAAATGCTTAATAGAGGATTAATATAGCTAAAGGCCCGTTTACAAGGGCGATTTTTGCTGCGATTTCAGTTGCGATTTTCTCCTTTTGGAGGATATGAAGGAGTAGATAACTTAATGACGTTGTTATGAAATTTCATAACCTGGAACATTTATAACTTATCCACTCCTTCACATCCATCAGAAGAAGAAAATCGCCCTAAAATCGCAGCGAAAATCGCCCGTGTAAACGAGCCTTAACTTTGCTCCAATAATTCTTCGTGTGCCAATTATTTTTAATTCAACGTACATGTCGACATGCAGATAATATCAGTGAAATATCTATAACAGTATTAAAGAAGTCAACTTGTTATGCGGTGCAAAGGTGTTAGTACTACTTTCCAGTTTCCACTAGTTATATAGGCTATACGTTTTTTTAACGTATATATAGCTATAGCTATATTATACCTCAAATTCAAATTGTCCAACCAGGAAGCTTAGTTTGTGCCACGTGAGCATGAAATTAATCGCGATATCACGCCTTACGTCATCAATTAGCGAGCCTGCGTTCCTTTTGACAATGTTCCACCCCATGTTCCCCGGGGAACATGGGGTGGAACATTATTCGCGTAGACCACGCGGGACAACACGCATAACAACAAGATGGCCGACAAAACATAAATAGTATTAATGAGTGATGAATAATTCAATTTTAAACCTAAAACCTGGGGCTTTTTCAAACCTAAAACCTGGGGCTTTGTCATTAATATTCCAAACGATATGTGATTCGAAAGAAAAGCGACGATACTTGCGTTAATCCGAAAATAAAACAAGTTTTTAATTCTCAACTTGGAGGCTTTTAATTTTTGGTATAATATATCATTTATAGACCCTCCGCTCGGGGGATTCGGCGAAATATTACCCTCAGTGATGATATTTCCCTCGGGGCAAAGCCCCTCGGGAAATATCATCACTTCGGGTAATATTTCGCCGAATCTCCCTTCGCTCCAGGTCTATAAATGATAAATATACGCTCGGAAATTTTATAGTTTTGGTACGAGTTATAAATTTTATATCTTTGGTACGAGTTTCCCCGCCAAATACACTTTACCGCAACACAATGACTACATAATAACAACGGCAAAAACCTATCGTGTAAACACAGCAAGTAAATTCGAAATAATTACCCTTGATGTCCGTAAAATGTTCGCAGTAAAGGGAAAGCCATCAATCATCAAAATATTAATAACATTTCGATTATTTTGAAAGCATTTGAAGCCCCACTCGCTAAAAGCTTTGAAATTTGGCTTGTATTGGAAGAAAATGGGAATCAGGAAGAAAGCCTAAAACTTGATGCCCAATTGAGTTATTGAGCAATTGGGAAGTTTGGAGGGCAGTCAAGCGTTAGAAGGGTCTCGGCGACTCGCCTTTTCCTGCTCTCCTAACTATCGTGCGCTTATGCAATAACGCGATAGAGTACGCGAAGTCAATCACGAAAAAATTCTTAAACTCCGACCTTTTATTCATTTCATTACTTCAAAAGAAAATTTTAAATGCATAGATCATTGAACATATGAAAACACTTACTGGAAAGCAGTTTTTATACTCGCTTTTAGTGAATAAAGATGAAAATAAACTTATTGATTAACTGCAATTACGTAGTAAATTTTCAAATTTTTCTTCGTAATTTGTTTGTAGGTACAGATCGACACAACATGGTGGAGATGGCCAACCCATCTGTGAACTATCCTCTAACCTCGGAAAAGTCATTAACAATGTTCATTAACGCTGAAATCGTTTGGACAAGTGATGAAGAAACGAAGACTAAACAAGATCTTATTTTGAGTATGGCCTCCTCTGGCTACTACAACAGCATGACGCTCTGTAAGGCTTCACCAGATAAAAAAGCGCTTAATGACGAGTTAAACAACGGTCCAGCATCGTATCGTGGTATGCTATTGAGGTTTGCACCGGGTGAATATTACTACATGTGTACAAGAAACAACAACTTCAGTAATCGTAACCAGAAAGGAAGACTCGTGGTCAGAAATGTGCCAGGGAGCAAGCTAAGCAAGAAGTAAACACATTGGACCTGTAGTTCTATAAAGAAACATTAACTTGTCTCAGTCTCTCTGACGTGCAACTCCAGGACCATATTATTTTATTATCCGCATGGGAAACTATTATATCGCCATTTCGTTAGTAGATACGCATGTTAGATTAGTTGTTTTGATATGAAGTATGATTCGAAATTGATTTTAATGTAGAACATAATTGATTATCTGTCAATTTCATGATAAAAATTTGAATAAAAATTTGTTGGAGAACAATCATTGTTGCACTAATGTCTTTTGCATAATTTCGGCGAACTTTTCCACGATATAGTAATATTTGCTGAAAGTTAACTTTGATTTTTACACGTTTCACAGAAATAAAGCTGATCTTTAACAGGACATCACGGGCATACGCTAGCAGGATTCCATTCTCGTCCGAGGCCCCTTGCTCACTCGGGAATTCAAATTTTATCAGAATTTTTTATGCATGTCCGAATTTTACTTAAAATAGCTATTGAATGTCTTCAAAAATTAACTAGGGATCCAAGGATAGTGTAAAGTTTCAAACTGAACATGACACGGCAAGAAATGAATAGGGTCGCCGACAACCAAGAATAATAGGTGCAGGCATAGGCTAGAGCAGGCACGTTACTAAAAAATGTGGATTAGAACGTGTTTGCGAGATAAAGAATTCCTTGTCACTCCCTTCGTAACTCGTTTATTAAATGTTGAGTTGCATTTGGGCATGACGACCTACTGTTTTGTAAAGCTGATGGATTACACTACGAAATAAACAGTTAGCATAGGCATTTCATATCATTATCTATCAGCATGAGCTCCACCTTTGAATTTACTATATGAGTAAATTCTTAAACACGTCCGAATTTATCATTATGATAAATTCGCGGCAAATTTTGAATTTATCATAATAATAAATTCGCGGCACCTAACACTAACCCCAACCCCAACCCCAACCCTAACCCTAACCACTAACCCCTAACCACTAACCCCTACCCTTCATTTTTTAACTTTTTAAAATTTTTAAACTTTTTTAAAAATCTAACTTTTTAAACTTTTCTTGCTTTTCAAAACTCTTTTAAAACTTTTTAAAACTTTTTTAAAAACTATTTTTTTAAAAACCATGAAAAACTTCCCACACCAGGGCGACCTGCCTCCCTTTTAGTGCCATTACATTTATAACAAGAAACCTTGTGCAATGATTGTGGTTTTATGATTAACTCTATTGATAAATTCAAAATGTGCCGCGAATTTATCATAATGATAAATTCGGACGTGTTTAAGAATTTACTCATATAGTAAATTCAAAGGTGGAGCTCATACTTGTTATCTATTCGGTTTTTAATGCGTTCGAGACATGAGTAGCGCAACGTTTGAAACAAGCCTAACACATCAGAAACGTCGTGCCTCGTGGAACTGATACAATTTATTCATTTATTGTGATGCAACACGCGACAACTCGAAATTTAAATTGTTTCGCGAACAACCAAATTTTTTATATTCTTAAACTACATTTGCATTGTGAGCTGAATGTATCCCCATGAGGTTACTGATATAATAAACTTATTTAAAACTATGATTATTCCCATCATCCTTTCACTTGACTATTGTCTCAGTGACACTCTTTAATTGAAATAACTGTATAACTAGTTATACGACGTTGCATCCATTACGAAAAAAACATTAATTAAAAGCTCAAAAACGTTAAAAATGAGGCGAAAAAACTCATTGAAATGACGCATATTATCCCCATATCCGTTCCGCATCCGCTCCGTGGATCCGATTCCGCATTTTAACCAAATTGAGGGCAGTGAAGGGGTAAAATGGGAACTGGGATTGTTCCGTAATTTTAGACTGGGAAAATGCGATTAGGGTTGTTGTATGGATATCTTATATACACCAGATAGTGCATCTAATTATTCTGCAATTCAAAAATTGAAGCCGTGATTGCAGTCTCAGGGCGTTCCCATGCATTTAGAAGATTCGTATGTTTTCTATTTCTTAAACAGGGAACTTAAACATTAAGTTAACCCTATTCCAAATACGTTTTTAAACTATTCAAATATTATATATATTCAATATATATATATTGTTACCAATGTGTATTGGCTATCTCCTCGTCTTTTTCGTTTGAATAAAGAGCTCTGACAAGTCAAGAGATTTTCATTACTACTTTAATCTCGCAAGTTATTTTGTTGAATGTTGGTCATTTTCTTCGAAAGCCATACAATGATACAAACACCCAGTTCTGTTTAACGGTTGCTTATGCTACTGATCTGATGCAATTTTCGCTCTTTGTACCGAGTGTAGCCATCTACCCTGTGGTGTAGCAGTGTAGCACCTTATACATTCGATCAGGGCTCGAATTTTATCGGCAATCGCGGCAAGGGAGAACAAAATGCCGTGGATCATTGCGGCAAGGACGGCAATTTTTTGCCGTATAGTGCAATTTTTATACTATACACTGTGCATTACTACTTTGAATTTATGATACTTGAATCCAGATGTTGATCAAATAATGCGTTTGAGTCTCAGTTTTCTTCGAAAAAAAAACACTGAAGAAATATGTAGACATGTTTCCAGCTTGTCAAAAATCCAAAGTAACAATAAAATTAAAGTTTTTTTACAGTAATTTGAAAAATGCCGTGGAAACTGCCAAAATTGCTGTAGACAGCTGTTACGTTCTTCGGCAATTTTTAGCACCATTAATTGCCGCCGATTGATTTCAGGGAAATGTGAGGACTGCATTCGATGTATAATGAATATACGGTCTAAACAATATATATCGGCACTTTTAACGTAGGCTATTAATTGAATGCCGGTGAAATACAAAACATCAATTAATATATTGCGTATAGAATCTCAACGATTTTCTCAATATGCATGTCTGAGATGTTTATATATTTGAAAACAATACTGTATCGCTTCTTCCTAGCTCTGCATAAGGAATATACCGTCAAAATAATATCAGTGCTTGATTGAATGCCCATATTAATAATGCATAACATCAATTTATATACTGAGTAGATTCTCAAAGATTTACTTAACATTCACGTCTGAAATATTTATATATTTGAAAACAAAACTGTGTCGCTCCTTCGTAGCATCGTCATGCCATTGTTGATCTACGGCTTGATAGCGCATGCGCATTTGCACTGCTAAAGAAAAAATCGGATGTTCCAGGGGAAGATCCTTTACACAACATGAGAAGCGAACAGAAGCGAATGTTCTAAAATGTACAAAAAATTGCAAAAACGACAACGATTCCTCGAATTTTTTGTGAACTGGGCATAAGATCTAAAGAATATTTAAATAACACAACAGAAATTGCCTAAATAACCTTCAAAGCACTGCATGACTAAGTACAATAAGTACAATAAATCACTACGAACATAAATCGTATACACCCCCCAGAAAGTTTACTCAATGACTGACTCGTGTGAAATTTCGCCACTCATCACAATAATGTTTACACTGAAAATGCGCATTTCTTATACAAAACTTTGCATGTAATATATCCAGGGAAATTAAAAATTTATCATCGACTATAGTAACAAAAATAATTACTATTTACGATATGCAAACTTGGACGTCAAGGTTGTAAAATATATGACAGGATTTGTTTCTAATTTCCATTTGATGCCATTACTATTTCATTTCCGCAGAATAAACAATGCGTCCTGCTGTCATAAGGCCCAATAGAAGCGCGTGCACGTCGTTTGACAGGTAGGGACGGCTTGTTGAACTTACTTTGCCTTCTTATACAAGTCTATTTGCTTCTTATTGATGTAATTCATGCGACATTTTGTGCACTACAGTCCCAGAACATACAACGATCCTATCACCTCTTTCACTATGCTGGTCCGGTTGATTCCTTCAGCCCCTTTCTCACCAATCACTACTCGGTCTTCATCTCCTAATACATTCTCGCATAAAGGGCAATTATCCCGGTTTTCTCTCATTTGAGCCTCTGAAATGCAAAATGAATAATTCTACAGGGAAGAAGACATGGTGGTTATAGGTACTTTTAAGCTACAGGGAAACATAAAACTTGTCAATATTTTGCAGCGATTCAACAGAAAATGGCATTGTTTGAAGACAGCACTGAAAAGTTTTTAGTACGATCCGCAAAGTGTATTTGACTATTTCTGTGCAAAGAGTTTTCTTTTCCTGCTTTTTATGATTATTCAAGAAAAATGTTGTTAAGAACGTTTTAAAAGCGAAGATGTACTTGTCTATACTACAGTAGCAGAGATCATACTTCAAGATGCATTTCTCCCCAATCTTTTTTCATGTTATAACATGAAGTACTAGAAGATAAGTGGTAGCTATGGTAATACGGTTTTTTCCCTACAATTTTCCTGTTGGTTTTTTTTCAGAAAAACAACAGAAATAATGGGAAATATATATTTTTAACCATAGAATTTCCAGTTCCCGATTTGTACAACGTATAGACAAGTTATTAGACATTGTAGCCTATAACTATAATTTTGTTTGGATTTGAACCTTTAAAAAGTTTTATGAGCGGTAGCTTTTTGACAATTTTACACTTTGGCGAAAAGATCTGTACTCCTGCCTATATTTACTGTGAGTATGATGAGGTTTTATATTGCAAAAAAGCCTCACACGTGCACATTTTAAATTTCTAACCGCCAAAGACTAAAACTTTATTAATATATATATATATATATTACATGTTATTGTGTATTCTTTGTTTTTCGCTAAATATATTAGCAATTCCAAAATAAGTACAATCACAATAAAGGCAAAACTTACTGATTTACATTAAGCAAATTTATCTGCCAATGGCAATGTTGGCCAAATTTTCAACCATTGCTGGACTAGCTGTTGAATAGCTGGTAGCCTGTGTTTCCTCCGCAGAGCTTTCCAGGCTTTTTAACAATGCGAAGCTTCGATGTTATAAGACTAACAAGGCGATGCACCGATGCAAGAGGTAGAGGCGCTAGACTTATGAAATCGAAGCTTCGCCTTGTTAAAAAGCCAAGAAAGCTCTGCGGAGGAGAGAGCGGTAGCCCGGTATCTCACTTGACTTAACCCATTGAATTGCAATGCACCCCTGTGCGCCCTATTTATTTATTTTACTTGTCTTAACGCCAGACGAATTTACTCGCCATTGTGGAAGCTCTGCAGCTTAATGGGTTAACCAAAAAATCTGAAAATGTCTTTGGTTACCCATTGAGCTGCAATGCGGCCCATCGCACCCTACTTATTTCTTTTACTTGTCTAACGCTAGACGATTTTACTCGTCGATGGGGAACCTCAGAGGCACTATGATATTCGTTTGTATATGTGAGAGTTACTGACCCTTACTGACCCTACCGCCAAGTTTATTTTTACTTCCGTTTCCCTGCATCGGATATAGGATGGTGTCACGTGACGTCAAACTGTGAACACGTTCAGAAGTACGAAGGAAATTGTAAAAACTTTCAAGTTGAAATAACAGAAATATAAATAATTCATCGTTGTTTTACGTTTTCTTCAATCGTTTGATCATTTAACATCGGTAACATTTTGGCGATCCTGCCAGGACGCCACTCGGGTTGTTTCACGCCAAATTGTGGCGTTCAAGAGGTGAAAATTCCTGATTTTGGAGTGAATTGACGATCTGATACGGGCTTTTGATGATTTCGCGAGAGGTAAACGTAAATGCCCTGTCACACTATTGCATATGAGAGAAACGTATGAGAAGCGTATGAAAATTAATGAAATAATTTTCATACACACAAAAATCCTTTGGAAAGCCAGCCGGTATGAGCACCGTACATGTGGCGTACCTCTAGCGTATTCAGCGTGTGCCTAGAGCATGCTTATCGTATAAACAATACATCCGAATACGCACAAAATTTTTGAGCATGCTTAGGCCAATGGAACTGTAGATTCTGTTTACCGTCCACCGCCTGCATGTGCTTGAAACTACCGCAAGAATTTTTTATTATTCTGAATTATTTTCATTATTTGTCATTATTTTTAATTCTACGCATCGAAACTTTCAAATATACATCAAATCATCAAATCTTCGATATAAAAAGCAGTACATCGCTGATGTATGATGGATCAGTCAGCATTTGTTCAGTACACTCGGAAATTCGCGAGTCTGACATGTGCAAATTCGAAAACAATGGCATGACAAAGAAATTTTCAGCAAAGGAAAGCCCAAAAATGATAAAAGAATGCTGGACAAAAGTGTTGATGGTCGAAATCAAAAGAAAACGATTTAAGGATAATTTTTGGTCGGAAAATAGACAATAACAAAAATATTGAAAAATGAATAACGATAAAAACCCGCATCAGATTTTTTAAATTCTCGGACGGTAAACAGAATCTACAGTTCCATTGGCCTTAAAAAATTTTCATGTTCTTCCTCGCCGTATGCCACCGTATGCCACCGTATGCCCCCGTATGCCACCGTATGCCACCGTCTGCCACCGTAATTTGTGATTTAACTGGAGAGTAAAGACGTGATATTTCCATGGCTGTACGTTTGGGAAGAAAGTAAGTGTTATTTTCTTACGATTTGAACGATTTCCATGCCGTAAAAGAACATCAGTGGAACCATCAGTGGTGAAGGCCACAAAGATGGATTGTCCATTGTCAGTCTTATTCGACAAATTGACACTGGCGTAAAATCTGGAAACAAGGAAACTGAAATAATTGAAGCAGTGGTGCGTGCAGTGAGCCCTAGTTTAAAATTGCGCTCATACCTAGAAATGATGAGTGGGTTGTCCTTGTCCCGTTTGAAGCAAATTTTAAGGGCGCATTTCAAGGAAAAGTCTGCAACAGAAATTTACCAGGAACTTACACAAATGTGCTAAGGTCCCAAAGAATCTGCTCAAGATTTCCTGATCAGAGCAATGAATTTACGCCAACAAGTCATATTCTTATCACAAACCGTAAATAGCATCTTCATTTTGCTTATATTTTACAGAAAAGGGACTTTGACTGGGGGCAAAATGGTTGAGTGGGGGGGGCACCAAGGGGGCTGGGTGGCTTTGCCCCACCCCCTCCCCCAGTTATATAGTTAAAAAATGCCCTGCAGGCCTTCCGGTCTTAAACGGTAATTATTAATTTAAATTCCGTTAGTTTTTTACGGATTTTAAATGTTAAGGCCCTGTCACACCATTGCGTATCGTACAAGCGTATGAAAAATATCACTCATACGCCGGTATACGCTGACATACGTTAGGGGTACGTTAGGCATAGGTTGTATACGTTTCAAGCACGGTCGCATACGGTGGCATACGGCGAGGCAGAAATTTTTTTTTAAGCATGCTCAAAAATTTTGGGCGTATTTGGACGTATGTTTTATAACGATAAGCATACTCTATAGGCACACGCTGAATACGCTAGAGATACGCCAGATGTAGGGTACTCATACGCTGACATTGCAAATGATTTTTGTGCGTATGAAAATTATTTCATTAATTTTCATGCGCTTCTCATACTTTCTCTCATACGCAATAGTGTGACACAGGGCTTTTAGAAAACTTTTTATTAATGTATAAACTTCTCTTCTAGTGTATTTTTTTGTTTGTTCAAATAACCTTAAATAATTAAATAGCCATCAGAGTGTTTTTGTTTACAATTCGGCATTTAAATTCCTCGCCATTTTATTTGTGCATTGTGGTTAGCCGCGCATGCGCATGCTGCCACAAAAACCTATGGACCACAAAACACAACAATAAAATGAACATTAATTCTCACCATTCTGATTTATTTAATTCCTCTTGCTACTGTAGTTTAATTCATGTAGTACAGACCTAGTACATTTTCTTTCTAAATTATTTTCTATATCGTTTTACGCATGAATACTTGTCATATTTCTAATGGATTATATCGTCATGTCATTGCAGGGTACAGTATCTCTACATCTCAAACTCATTAATAATTCATGAGTAAATTAGCAAACCATATTCCTTTATTTTGCTCACATGATAATACTGGATACCTGGTGAAGTATATTGATCCATTCCTAGGACTGGATCAAAATTAATTCACCTCACTTTAATTAATTAAGTAGTGATTTATTCGTATAAGATGTCATTTGAAATCCTTGATCAAATTGCGAGACTTGAAATCTAGTCCATAAATAATAAATTTTTCACTTCCGAGTATTTTAATTCCCAGAATGAATCTGAATTGCAGATTAAAGGATTGTATTATGTAACTATGAAGTATCATGCAATGGCTGTTCTTCGATCAGATGCGGAATGGTCGTTACAAATTAATCTGTGCCGATGCTTGCATCGTAGTGAAGGCCAGACATAGGGTAAGGAGTCGTATCATGTTAATTTATTCTTTGACTTTGTAATGCGTGAATTTCGATCTAAATTATAATGACCTATAATCATTCATGCTCGAATTTGCGATTACGTTATTCTAAGTGACTTAGTCTTAAAGGGTGCGGATTGCCCATATTACAAGGAAATAAGACATTAGATCCATGCTTTGGTAGAATACCAACAACTATACAACAATTTTGTATTTTGTACAATTTTTTCAACTCATGTTGGGAGAGACGCTTGAAAGAATGCAATCCTTTTGGGTAGTAAATCTGATACTTGTCACACTTCAGCTTTGTACTTACAAAGACTGGTATAGCAGAAATATCAGGTTTTCTATGTTAACTTATATTTCGTTTTTCGGGGCTCAATTCAAATCTTGCTGCAGGGAAAAGCTTGCATTGAAATACGAAAGCTTAGGATGGATAGGGATACAAATATCTGAAAAATACAAGGAGTACTTCGACGTTTCGAACAGATACGCTTCGTCGGCAAGTTACAAATGTCGCTACCATGCTATACTTCCTGACGAAGGGCCTTCGCTCGAAACTTCGAAACTTGTATTTTTAATTTTTCAAATAGTTGTATCGTGTCAATCCAAATCTTTCTTATTATTGGCAAGGATTGTAATGAAATATTGCCAGAGACCAGAGCTGCGTAGGTTACACTGGCGAGTCTTGGCCTCTCTTGAGTCTTGAGTTGGCCTACAATTTGGTACTGTATAAGAGTCTCTTGCTTGAGCTAACTGCCACGATAGGCCATAGTATAGCTTGGCAAGCTCCCAACTCCTGGCCGACAGGCCCCGAAAAAACTAGGTCGATAGTGATGTACTATTTTGCAGATTCATATCTTCGGCAGAGGGACATCGGCAGAGGGACGACGGACTCTCTTCATGCTCATGAGCCCGTAGCGTGAATCAAACCCACAGACTCAGGGCAAATGCGCTTGCACTCACGAACGACTACGCCAACGAATCCCCACTTTTAATCCTATAGATGTAAAGAATAGACCTTATGCACAATGACGTCACAAGGCTTGATGCCCGCGAGGAATGGTGGTCTTAGTAGTCATCGCCATGGAAAATTAAACAATTCGAAATGACCACTATCGAAATTTTCCCAGGTAATGACTACTAAGACTAGCATTCCTCGCGGGCATCAAGCCTTGTGACGTCATTATGCATAAGGTCTATTGGATGAAGTGCCTACAAACTCCTCTAACATTATAGCCTTTGGATTGCAGGGATTACTATGGCTACCGCCGCAGCAGGAAGCTTGCCTGCAGTGACTCCACCTACAGTCATCACCGACGATCAACGAAGATGGGTCGTCATTGGCATTTGTCTCAACAAACTTCTTACTCCTCTATTGAGAAATGTCCTTGCAAAAGAAATGTTGGGTTGGTATAACCTACTTTGCCTCCCGTCGTCAAAGCAAATCAACAAGCAAATTTACAAAAAAGAAACAAAAACAATACCACCTTCCACGATAAAACTTAATTATGGTAATATCAACAAGAATTATGACAACCACAAGTCAACATATAATGCTTATGATTATAATGTCAAAGATCCGGAATCTCTTGCCAAGTTATTTGTCCAACCTTTCATGGCAAAGTTCAGTGGCTTTGACCAAACCATGGATCTTTCTGCTGTATTAACAATGATGTGTGAAGCTGACCCTTTTCACACATCTGGAGCTGCTGCACAAGCAAATACAGTTCGTTCAGTGGTGAGGAACGAATGGGCTCATTGTAATTTTTCACACTGGAGCGATGCAAAATATCTCTCGTGTATACAGCATATCGAGACACTGGTGAAGAAATTAAACTTGCCAAGTGCAGACGAAAACGAATTTCTTAAAGAACTGAATAACTGGAAAGACAAAGGTAATATTCTATGTATAATATTTACATTTGTTTTTTTATTTGTGCATGCCTAGTGATATTTTTTGATTTCCTGCAATCTGATTGGCTGCAGCAGCAGGCAGCTTTTTACGATATCTTGACCGTGGTCCAAAAGTGTTATTTTTTCGCAAAAAAACGAGGAGTGAAGACAATTTTCAGACTCAAAACACTACCCAAAACGTTTAAAAATCCACCTTTTCGATACTAAAGACAGTAAAATACAGTGAATTGGCTTCAGTGGACTTAGTGCCAAGCGCGAAATGTACTTTTCTCCGACAAAACTGCGAAAAAGACAAATATAAACATCGAGAAACACTTGCCAGCGCTACATGTTTTGATTCAAATGTTCTACTACATATGTTCAGCTATTCTTCGAAAATATAAAGTATAAATATAAATAGTACAACGTACAACTTGTCCTTAAACATAAAATTTAAAAAAACTAAACCTTAAATGGCAGTTTAAAGACGATTCCTGGGCTGATTCGGGCAAAAATTGTTTTTATAAATGTTGTAAAAAACAAATTGTTTTTCGGCAACTAAAATTTGTATTTGTCTGTCAAAAAGCATTTTTCAAGCATGTCCATGATGCAAAACGAATCGAAAAATAATTATTTTTATTTTGTTTACCTTCTGTTTTCTTGTTGAGTAGAAAAGCATCTATTGCAATGAAACTAAAAGTTTTTTATTCAGCTTTTATCGCGTCGTTTTAGCAGTTTGTCAGCCATGCTTGCACTATTAAATTAACAAACGCAACTGATCTCAAATGTACTTCGCAACTGGAATTTTATCGGAATTCATTATAACCATGAAGAACTATCAAATAAAAAAATAAACACGTTATGTACCGTTTAGGTCGGTCCGTATTAAAAAATATTTTCCCTCGGCTTCAGAAGCGTCCCTCGGCCTTTGGCCTCGGGACGCTTCTGAGACCTCGGGAAAATATTTTTTCAGTACGGACCTGGCAGCCGGTAAATAACATATATGTATTTTCAACAGCAATTTTGCCAGATTTGCAGGGAACGTTTATCCAAAAACTATCCACAGAAAATTTGATATTGACACGCTTAATCTACCTCTTAACCAATCAGATGCATACTGATCCAGTAGGGGATAGCGCGGTAGTGGTAGTGGAAATCAAATTATAACCACTCCATATACATAACATATCTTATATAGCCATGTAAAATAATGCTGTAAAGTGACCAGCCTATGATTTACTAGGCGGGAAAAAAGTTAGAAAGTTAATGAAGTTTGCATAAATCTATGTATTCCTAGACTTCCTACACCCAATATCCCCCCCCCCCCGTGCATTAACAGACCTAAACGCACTATTAGAGTTTTCCTATAATTTAGGAGATATTACATAGGAATCAATTTTACTCAAAATTCTCCTAACATGTAATCGGTGAGATCCGCGCATATACTTATTACTTGTTGCTTAGCAACACGCTTGTCAACATAAGCGGGGAAGGAGCTGAGGAAAACAATGTTACAGTTGAGAAAATTTGTTTAAAACGCTGGAAATAGAACGATTAGTGATAAGCAAACTAAGTCGATAAAATTTTTCACCATCTGACCTGCCGGAATTGCCGTAAAAACCGTGGAATACATCGGATTGCTTGAAATTATTGAATTTTTTCCTCCGCTGAAAATATATTTGACAGTTTCTATCAGAGGTATTAAAGGTACATTCTAAATCACATTTGTTCAGTTTTCGTACTTTTTTCTGTTTTGGGGTATTGCAGCTGTATCTTTTTCAAGTTTTTCTCGGCTTTATCGTTTTGTTTATATTGTGGCTACAAAGCGGAGCAGGAAAAAACACAGAAAGACCACAGTGCATTTTTGCATTATAACGCAAGCGCATTAGCCAATCAAATTGTATGTTATATCGGCCTTATATTACAAATGGGATTCAACATCTGCTTGAATTCGGATGCTCTATTTTATCAACATTTGGCGTTTTTGAGGCTAGACATAAATTCATGCAATTTTTTGAATTATCACGTTGAAGTACGTTAATTAAAATCACTTTAAAGTAAAAAATGTGCATTAAACTCGTACTAAACGTTTTGCGCCGTCGTTATCGGTTTAAAACTTCAAATAATATGATGACCAGTTTAAATTTTATTTTACGTAAGTAATGCGTTCTGCGATGAGGTCTTGTGCATGTAAACACCATTCTTGTTCGGTTCTGTGCTCTTATATATGTTTCGTCTGGAGTGTCATGATTTCATTCTGAATTTCTTCACCTTGGGTGCGAATTAGCGCACCATCTGCGCCATTTACAGTATATTACATTTCCGGAAGGTATATTGTTTCCTATTTTCTTCTCGATCTTGGAGTATTTTCCTCCATATTTTCTTGCCCCTTCCAAAAAACACTGCTCCGATATGATATTGTTCTCTTGACGTTGCAGCAAAACCCGTTGAGTCGTTTCAGTACCTACCAAATCATATCTTTTTGAGTGATGAGTCACTGTATACATTGTTGATCCCGTACATTGGAAACATATCTGGAGATTGACATCCTCGCACGTGTTCACCGGCCTCGCTGACAAGGGCATAATCATCATTTGATTTTTTAAAGGTCCGCAATTGTGCTGTGGTCAGGCAGTAGACGCTGATCTTCTTAAAATTGTCAAGACTAACGTGTCAGAACTTTATGAATCTGTGACAATACTGGAAGAAGAGAACCAAGATGCACAGGTACCCTGTATACAAGATAATACCTTAATTAGATTTCTCTTCAAGTTCCTCAATGTCAATCTTTTTCTAGCCTACATATGTATGCCATGCTGACTTTTTTCTGAGCGGACTGAAATTAATAATAATAATATTTAAACCGGGGGTTCATGCCACCAAAGTTGTTTTTCAATGATATATCAATATATAGAACAGATATTCACAATATATAAAAATCTCTATACAATGTGATAGATAGCTAGATATATTTTTATTAAGTTCAAAAATTTGCAGCCTCTTACATATCAGCTGAGTTATACTCGACTATCTAAATGACAATTAGTCATATAAATTAGGACTGTTTAATTTGTTTACTTTGTACTTAACAAGTTCGATCTTCCCGTACTAAGATTTTTATTAATTAATTAACCTCCGATGAGAAGAAAGATTTCTTAAAGTTCAGTGTTAACAACATAGAGTTAAACCAGTTCGTTACGCTCCAAATATGTGTTGAGTTTTGATTTAACCTCACTTAACATGGATGATGTATATAGTACTGAAATACAGTATCGTCAGTAAGGACCATTACTTAGCAAAATTGGAAGCAATGAGGCAGATCGTTCACAAATATAACAAACAGCAACGTTACAACGGTCCAAAATACTTCCTTGTGGTACACCAAAGGTACTAGCTCATCAGGAAAGTTTCTTTGTATCTATCATCGTGACATTTAATTATATTGATCTAATAAATAAGACCAAAACCAGGTTATTTGACCGACCAGAACGAGTTAGTTTATGCAGCAGCAGTCCATGGTCAACAGTGTTTATACAATAGTTTTGTTTGTGGAAACACCACGTATATTTATTACTGCAAAGCTTTCGATCCGTAAGCCATATTATAGCACTGATGAAGATCCGGGCTTACGGATCGAAAGCTTTGCAGTAATAAATTTACGTGGTGTTTCCACAAACAAAACTATTATATTTTATCGCCATGCAAACATACAAAGAATTTAGTGTTTATATAGTGTTGAACACTTTGTTTAGGTTAGGGATAGCAGCTTCTGTTACTTTGCCTGCATCCATGGAGGCCAGATATCTATCATCTATTTGCTCGAAGACCAAACTGTTCTTATGCAAGGATCTTTCTGGCAACAAGTTAGATATTCGTAGAATTGATAGTAAACCGTGCGCTCGCTCAAATATGTTGCTGATTGTTGAAAGGATCGTTATCGGCCTATAGTTATTAACATCCGTCCGATCTCCTTGTTTATGAAGTTTCTTAGTGAAGGGCTTGGCATGGACAGGAAGCTAAAGAGAGAGATCGATTGAAAATTGTCATTATAAGTTTGGTATAATATTACGGGTGCAGCGTCTTTTAACAAGCGAGTGCTTGTACCTTCCCGTTTGTCTTACTATTCTTCTGGAGTCTACGTAGTTGCATTTCGAGATATTCTACTGGTATGGGCTCAAAATCAAATTTTTATGAGTCACAAATTTCATTGCTTGACGCTACTGGTGTTGCATTCCGAGTAACAGATCTAAATTTCTGAGCCAGTTTGTTTGCGATAGTGCAAAAATGCTTCTTAATTAAGAATTTCTGATATTGATTGTGCATCCAAATAACTATAATACTGCCTGAAAAAATGCATTTAAGAGTTGATATAACATTACGACCTGCGGTCACTTTGTTTATGCATGCTTATAAAACCTTGTTTTTGTCCATTGGGTCTCTATAATGTTCTGTTTTGCACCGCTAATATCGAGTTCGCGTCCCAATGTGTCTTTACAAAATTAATACGATGGGCTTCAATTCCTGCAATATTATATCGTTTGCCTTTCTTTTTTGTCTTAAGGAATTCTCATATACTCCTCCCTATGTTCAGCCGATAATCTTGTGATATCTTCAAGTCTCATTGTTCATTCGTCGTTCAGATGTTATCATTTGTAAATCTTTAGGCCAACAATCTTTTGAGATTACCCAATTGTGATAATAGTTAAGGTTGTTCAGAAGAAACCATAACTTTTCACTCTGCCGAAATTAATTTGTCTGGCACGAATCGAAATTTATTACTATCCCAGTTGCATGGACAATTAAGCCTTCTTGTGGCGAATACGAGTACTCGCATTTGCCAACGTTTTACCGCAAACGTGGCACTCATAAGATATGTTCACTCCTCAAGAGGCAGAGCAAATTATTTAAAGCAAGGATGATGAGGCATACCCTTGTAGAATCAAACACTATTTAATTGCTATTTATTTCCTATTTTATTGAGCTATTTAATTCCTATTTGTCAAAGTATTTATTTCCTATTTTATTTTCTTTATCGTAAACCATCGTATTTATTCAAAATTAGTATTGGTACAGTATTAATATTGTAATGCTTGTGCTGCACCTGTAGTATGACTGCTTAATATCATAGCCCATAGCCATGACTATTAAGAAACACTCGTTTGTCGCATGATTTTGCAAAGTAATTTCCTAGATCGGTACATTGCAATTGTACAACGGCTACAATTCCACCCACTGAAGGCCTACTCTGGGGCGGTAAATCGCCTTAAATCGCCTAAAATCGCCCAAAATCGCATTAAATCGCGGGTTAAAATGGTCAAATTTCTCTTAAATCGCCTAAAATCGCTTTAAATCGCCTAAAATCGCTTAAAATCATGGGCGTACTGGGTGGGGGGGGGGACGGGGCGACCGCCCCCCCCAGTTTCTGGCTGGGCAGTCGCCCCCTGGCTTTGTTGGGCAAACAAAGCCAGCCGGGCAATATTCGCTTCACAGTCGGGCAATATTGGTTTATTATAGAAATAAATGGGACAAATTCTGTCAATTTTGTGGGAAATTCTGTCAATTATGTGGGAAATATGATATCTAATAGGAATTTTTTGTAATCACTTCTCCCCCCCCCCAATCACTTCTTTCCAACCCCTAATATTTTCCTTCCCGTACGCCCATGCTTAAAATCGCATTAACTCGCCAACATGCATTCTGTTTGATACATTCAGTCAATAATGTACTCAAGTTTATCAATTGCTGCTATTTTGCTGGCAAATCATGTATAATCCAGGTGTTTTGCAATCAAAAGTAATGCAACATGGATAAATCAAATAAGTGCATTAGGCTGACAATATTTAGTCACTCAATAGGCTGCGGTCATTAATAAAAACAGAGCCTTTTTCTGCTTTATGCAGACTTTACAATAATTAGGCAATTCTGGGATATGAAAGACCCATAGATTCCATTACACTACCAGCAACAAAATTGAGTTACTGGTTAATTTCATTATTAATGGTGTAAAATGTGGAGGCTGGGCTACAATTTATATGGACTATGGTGGCTGGGCTACAAATTAATGTATAATATACATGGCTTCTCAAAGCCTAATTGCTGTTAGAACAACAGTAGGAGACTATGATAATGAGAGTCAATGAGTACGAGTATATAATAAGGTCATCCTGCAATTTATGCACTGTTGCATGTAGATCGAGCACTGCATTGTATACAGTGGTTGTACTTCGACATGTGCATGGTTATACTCTAGCTCCTAGTTATAATTATATTGGCTATCATACGAAAAACATACGTGAGGTTTAATATGAGCGAGATTTGCAAGTTTTGCAACTCTCATCTATTAAATTTTCCAGACCTGTATATAAAATAAACAGTAAAACAATGATTACATCGTACATACCATACAATCTTTGTTGTCGCTTGTTCGCACAACACTTGACAAATTATCAGGTAACAGACTTAAAACCGCGATGTAGTGCGCGGTGTGCCATTTGTT